ATGTGCAATCTCCTCTTGCATTTGTGGGCAGAGTCATCCCTGCAGTCCAGGGCTTGAATTCCATCTTTGTGTAATTAACTTAAACCCCAATATTGCTGAAGATCTTGRTAGTGCTTTGGGAAGCTTCTCTCCAGGGTCAGTCAAGTCATTCTATCAACAGGTCAACCTGCTGCCCACTACCTATATCCTGAAGTCTAGGAGGTACCTATATACCTGCATACTTATATGCAGATATTCATTTATTTAGCATTGAATTTATGGCTGAATTGAAATCTGGAAATCTAATTCCTCAAGGATGGAGGAACTAAATGACACCTACAAATCTCCYTCTGCCAATGAGTACCAGGACAGACATGGGGGAAGAGAGTTCACATCCTCTCAAATTATCAGATGGGCTGTTGAAGCCTTTGGCCTTGCCACGGGGCCAGAGGGAGAAGCTTTGTTGGGACTAGTGAATCCTATCAGATGGGCCTAACAACCACTCTGGCTGAAGGACTCTACAAATGGTGTGAATCCTCCAGAGAGATTCATTTCCATGGGCCAGCAAGTGCTGAAGATGCTTTGAACTGCTCAGGCTAGCAGGCCCATACTAGCGAAGTGTGTGCTCATTCTGTTAGATAAACTGAATCACAACCCTACAGGCCTTAAACTGGGTATGTCCTAATCTCTCAATCAGTGGCATCCTAGGATCACTCATACCTATTTTGCACTGCTAAGCCTTGCGTGCTGTGCCTGTTCTGTCTTCATGCCCTGTTTGCCTGCATTTCCAACAGAGCCTGTGTTTTTTCTATATTTCTCACAGCTTGGAGCCATGGCCTTGACCCCAGCATGATGAACACTTGGTGCTACATTTACCTGAAATGCATTTATTTGAAAGTCATGTTTTACAGCAGACATATAATATGAGGTTGCTAATCTTCTTGCCAGTAATGAGCAATTGTTTTGAGAGCTGATTAAATTCTGTGAGCACAAAACCACCCACATGCTACTTAGAAATACCACATAAGAATCTCAGAAYGGATGGGTCAGAGCCCAGGTCTGTGTATGGTGCTACAGGCACCAGCTCTCAGGGCTGGTCTCACCTGCTAAGAGCAAGAACAGGCAACTAGTCGGTGATTTGTCCCCAAAACACTCTCCTGGCCCCAGGCATTTGTGGTTTGGGAATCTCTCATATCAGACATGTTGCTTTTGTAGTGAATAGCCCACCTCTGTTTTTGWTTTGTTCTGTTTTGTTTGTTTGTTTTCCTATTAATTTGTCCAGCCATTTTTGAATCCATCCAGTTTTGAGGGTCCACAAAAACTGTGGTGAGGAGTTTTGTAACTTAAGTATTCCTCTGTGCAGAGTTGTTGAGTCCCTCTTTTTTTTTTTTTCTTGAACTACCAAACTCTGTTTTTCAAAATCAAGACTCTTAGTTTGTCAAGCATTTTAAGACTGAAGGAGGACTGTAAATAAACAGGAAGAAATATCACGGTAAGTATTTGATGCTTCTCGTGTACATGCATAGKAGTGCACCCTAACCTTCACTGGTAGCAGTGCATACACAAATACTTGATGCATGTCCTTGCAGGGTCCTGACCATTTCTCAGGGTGAAATGGTGCTTTTCTAGAAGGCTGATGCTTTTCTAGAAGTCTCAGCTCTTGGAGTAACGGGACGCAAAGGCACCTTTTGCTCATTTGAGCTTTCATTTTCCAACCCTGAGGCTCTTGCTGCCCAAGAGAAAAGTTTGAAAATGGAATCTAAGGGCACTCAGGCTTTTAAGCAGAAGCGAGGGCTTCCGAGAGCCGCATTTACGACTTCGAAGCGCTGTTCATTTTACATAATAGTAATTCGTCTCTCGGGAGGAAATCTCCCCTTTGGCACTATGCGAAGAGCGCCTCGACGGGCCGGGCCGTGAGCTCCCGAGGGGGGGGAGGAGGAGGAGGAGGAGGAGGAGGAAGGGCGCTGGCGGCGGGCGGGGGGCTCGGCCAGCGCCGCAGGCAGCCGGGCCGGGCCGGGGGCGGCGGGCGGGCCGGGCCGCCGGTGCCATCCCGTTGGTCTGGGGCCGCCAGGGCCGCCCCGCCGGCCGCAGCCCCCTGCGCGCGGCGCGTTTTGGGCCCGGGGAGGCAGCGGGACCCCCCCGCTCGGTGCGAGCCCCCCGCCCGCGGCGGGGCGGTCCCGGTGCGGCGCGGGCCGGCGCGGCCCCCCCGCCGCTCCTCCCCGCGCGCCCGGGTGTGTGCGCGCGCGCGCGCGCCCGCTGATTACAGTAATTTGCCGGGCGATGTTGCAATGGGGCAGAGTGTGCGGGGCGGCCCGTGCGGAACTTTATAACGCTCCTGCATGTCAGTGGCCCTCGGTACTGCGCTCGTAAGCGGGGCAGCCGGGAGGGCGGCCGGCCTCTCCGCGCTCAGCGCCTCCCTGCAGCCTCCGGGCCGGCCGGGAAGGGGAGTTACTTGGGATTACRGCGACGGCCCGGAGCCCAGTCGCAGCCTCGGTGCACGGCTCGGCGCTGCCGCGCTAGGGATCGTAACGCGAAGCGCCATGAGAGGCAAAGAGGAGAAATCTTCGCTGAAAGGTGGGTGTCAGCGGCGCGTCCCGCCGCTGCCCGCGGGGCACCCTGCGCGGAAACGGGGCGAAGGGGCAGGGGGGTCGCAAGGCTGGCGGGGCTGTTGGTGCCCGAGGCGGGTGCGGGGTGGGGGTCGGCCGGGGGGCTGCGGCTGCAGCCGGCCGCAGGTGGTCCCCAAAGCTGCCGGGGGCTGCGCGGGGGCCGGCGCGGCCAGGACGGGCTCGTCCCGCGCGCGGCCGGGGCTGCGGGCGCCACGTTGGTGCGGGGACGTGAGCGGGGAGCGGCGAGCAGCAGAAAGCGCTGCGGACACCGAAACTCTGGGAAAACGCGGAAAAGTGCCGTGATCGAGTACTTTTTTTTTTTTTTTTTTTTTTTGACAGCAGTCCCCTGAAAGTGGGTAGGCGGGGAGCAGAGGAACCTGACTGCTCCTATTACCATCTACTAGGCTGTCTTTTTTATTATTATTATTCTCTATTTTTTAAATGTATGCGGCCATTAATGAGAGTGACGCTGTTTGCAACAAAGTAAGGGAAGTAACAAGTGGGATATGCCAGCGGCCTGCCAGCTCTTGCTGGCTTTACTCTTTTTTTTTTTCATTTTATTTTTATTTATTTTTATTTTTTTTTAACTGTCTCACTTTAAAGTCTTTGAAGCTGCGCCTTTGAAAGGCTCTCGCCCGAAGATGCAGAAGCATCTTTGTACCCCTGGGCATCTCTGCTGCTGCTCAGGGCGAGCTGCAGCCTTTGCGGGTGCTTTTCCTGAGCGTGTCCCGCGGAAGGCGACGCGGAGGCGGCCAAGTTGTGCCGCCCAGCGGCCGTCGCGGGTTGCCGGGGGAGGCAGCAGAAACGGTGCAGAAATAAATGAATAAAATAGAAAAAGGGGCAGAAGGGAAGCTGCAGGCAGTGGGAGGGTGGCAGCCGCAGCCCTGGGGACATTCTTTGCTCAGACGGCAGGGCCGAATGAAGGCAGAAACCCCCGGGGGGGCGCGCAGAGCTGCGGCCGGCGAGCTGCGGGGCCAGGTCCCCGTGCCCGCGCTGCGGTGCCCCCCGCGCCCCGCGAAGCGCACGAGCGGTTCGGGGCCGGGTACGCGGGGTAGCCGGTGGGCGCGCGGACGGAAAGCAGAAACTTCTTTTTATTTATTTATTTTTTTTTTTATATTATTTTTTCCCCTCTACTTTTGGCACTTGTGTTCACCGGGGTCGGCTTCTCACCTTTTCTAGAAGCAAGGCTCTCCTCGTCCTCCTCCACTACCTCGTCCAAGTTCAGGGAACTGCATTTATTATTATTATTATTATTATTATTATTATTATTATTATTATTATTATCATCATCATCACTGGTTTCCCTTTTGGGAATTAAAAAGAAAGTGAGTTTTGGTGTGCCCCCCCCCGGCACTCCCCCCTTTTTCCCTTTACTGTAGTGTCCCAGCCGGGATCAAGGCAGTGCACTGAGGGGACATTTGTTTGTGGCCATTATAGAAACGCGGGCAGGAAATCTTGTTCCCCTGAGTCACCGGGGCCCCTCCRAGGACGCGGGTGGCGGCGCTTATCGCGGGCCCAGGGGGCACTCGGGACAGGGGTGCAAGAGAAGCACTTTATATAACCGCGCCTCGGGGACGGAAAAAAAATAAATGAATAAATTAAAGAAGGGGTGCGGGCGCGGAGGGCGAGCGGGGACGAGGCAGTTTGCCGCTGCGAGGCGAGCGGGGCTGGCGCTTCTCCCGGCCGCAGCCTGGGAGGCTCCGTCCAGCTGTTGCCTTTGGTTCTTTGCCCTCCCGCTTGCGCCGCGGCCGCGGGGACACGGCGGGCGGCGGGGGGGGAGCGGGGGGGTCCTGTGCCCTCGCCTTTGAAGGCAGCCCTCGCCAGCGACTCCCGGGGGCCGCGGCCGCCGCTTCCTCCGCCTCCCGCTA